AGCCTTGGCCACAGCCGCCGTGTAGTCAGATGTGATGATAATCGGTGCCTCCTTAAAACAAAGATGGTCGCGGCTCCTTGCCCGACGTAATATTTCCACACATTCTTGATAATAGTGCAGCTTAGCAACAATAACCCGCGGCTTATCGCCTGACCTGTTTCCACCTGGAGCGGCTCAGTCAACCAGTGGCACTTTATCAATCTGTAGAACCTCCGCTAGCAGCTTAGACACTGCTGAAGTGGAGCTGGATTCTGGCGTCTCTGGAACTCCAATAATCCGCACATTGCACCTTCTCATGCGCCCTTCCATATCGTCACACTTCTTTTTGAGCCCATCGACTTCTTCTTTCAGTTCCAAGACGGTGGTGCGCAGAGCAACAACCTCATCGGACCAGGTTGACAAGCTGTCCTCCACCTCTTTTACGCTCTGCTTAAGGTGGGTCCAGGTCGGCGCGCAGTAGCATTGTGCCGTTAGCCACTTCCGCTCTCACCGCTTGTAGCTCTCCTTTAATAAGAATAAACTCTTCAGCCAAAGCCGTTTTTATTTCGGATTTGATCACAGCTGAGAGATCGGTTTTTATAGCGGCAAGAATGTCAGACTTCAAGGAGAGTGCATCCACCTCACCGCGGGAGGGAGAACGAGGTGCCGAAAATCCGGCTTTAGCTGCAGCATGCTCCGAGGCGGCATCGGGCCTAACAGCCGCAGAGCTAGAATGTTTGCCTTTCCTCGAATTTGTCACCATTCTTCTACTCTTCCAAGCAAGAATCACTCAGGGGTCGAGTCCGGACAGATTAAATCCTCAAAACAGCAAGGACATTTAGTAGAGAACCATAAACAGAACAAGTCGGAGCAGGAGCCCACGCGACACACGTCTTACTCCTCTGCCATCTTGCCCCGCCTAACCTAGGCTGCATTTTTGAGCACAGATCCAGTGAGAAACTTGCTGTTTCAGCAACATTTAATTTAAAAACTGTACTTTTGAGGTTAAAGCAAATGTTCATAATTAATTTAAATAAATTACAAGTTAAAATGGACATGGAAATTTCTCTTTTTTGTATCAAAAAAATATCGAACCGTGAGACTAAAGTATCGAACCGAACCGAATTGTGAATTTTCTGTATCATTGCACCCGTAATATACGTATTAGTTAAGCCCTACACATTCTCCTCTGGTCACTGACTGAGGTCCTCCAGCCACATGACAAAGAGGGGAACGCAAAAATTTTCAGCCTGCAACTGAAAATGTGGATGGAGGACCTTAGTTTAGCTTGTTAGTTTGTTGCGCTGGTGCCAAACTAATACATACAAGGTAATATAGCGTCGGTGCTAGCACGAAGGCTAACAGGCTAAGCTGAGGTTCTTACAGCTCTGTTGTCCTCCATCTACATTTTCAGCTGTAGACTGCATCGTTTCTACCTTCTCCTCTCTGTCAACGCTCTCTGGTTTCATTTAAAAGAGTCGATCATCAGATATTGCCCAAGATTAACCTTCAGGGTGGATGTAGCTCGCTCGCACCGAAGACCTATCCACGTCATCATTTGCTCAGAATTCTTTGTGTGTAAATAAAATGGCTCTGTCTGTATTAAAATATGTTAAAAAATTTACAAGACTAAACAGCCTACAGTATTTTTACAGTCTTTATTTTACAGTTAAAATAAATGTCTAAAAAATAAAGTCAAATGTTACAACTAATCGTGGATCCCTTTAATGAATTTTTCCTTGTGTTGCTGCAGGTTCCAGTCGCCCACAGAGACCTGAAGTGCAGCAACATTCTGGTCAAGAACAAAAAGGAGTGTGCTCTGTGTGACTTTGGTCTGGCGTTAAGGTTGGACCTCTCACTGACGGTGGATGACTACGCTCACAGTGGACAGGTAAACTGGACAGGTTAACTTGTGCTTAGACACACTGGACACTCAAAACATTATGAATGTGTGCCCAATATGCTGTTGGTTCAGTGCATGCTATAAACCTCTGCTGGTTGTTGAGGTATCTGGGACATTATCGGGGTATTAAATTATAGAAATCATCAGAGAGCACAGATTGAACCACTGGGACATAAAGTTAGAGAGGACATGGAAGAAGATGGACTGAGGACAGAGTGAGGACAGACACTCGTTCTTATAAAATAATCAACATGTTCTTCATCTGAGTGGCTGTAATGTTTACATGTGGGTGAATGATTTGGACCAGTGTTTCCCAAAGTTGGGGTCGGGACCCAAAGTGGGGTCCCGAAACATCAAGATGGGGTCCTGAAAATATTTACTGAATTAATTACATTTTTGCCTTAGTTGTTACAAAGGAGTGAGGTTAGTGAATTTAAAATGGATAAATGTAGTATAAAAATATTGTTACTATGCCCATG